ACAAATTATGATGTCAAAACTCAAAAGTCAAAGTTTGAATTTTTAATTTATCTAGCCCTCCACTCTATGTAAGTATGTGGATCGAAATTATATGAATATCTGGTCTCTTCCGATTGAAAATATTGTGAACATCAGACATAGAACTGCACTTGCACATTTTACTGAGCTTTCATTTAGTATCACTGTTTACAGTCAGCATTAAGAAGAGCTGGGAAATGTGAACAGGTCTTATGTAAATTTGCACTAACTCTCGAATGTGTTTCGCGCCAATCAAGTTGAGCTGTTCCGACCCACACTCGTGCTGTTTTGATGCTGTTAGTGTGATTGAAGTAATATTTTACAGCGATCTACAAAGCAAATAAATATCAACTGTATTTATTTATTCTATCCATCCATTGTTCTCAGCCTAGGTTTACAGCCCAATCCCGCCACACAGACACATAAGTATACTATTCAATTTTTGGTTCTACTTATTATTATACTATATGATCCAATTGGCTGCTGATATGAATTTTATTTACGTGTACATACATACATACATACACACACATACATTTATATGTATATACATGCCTACAAAAATATACATATTAATATTCATTATAATTTATATCTGGTTGTGGCAAGGTGATCAATTTAATCAATTAACATAAATTAACTGAATAATATTTGCCTTGTATTGTTATTTGTGTAGCTATAGACCATAAAACAATTGGTTGGCATTTCGCACTGTTTAAATTGTTAACTAATTTCAATGAAAATGAAATATATGAATGTTATTTATTTCAAAACAATCAAATTTAGAAACAACAATAGAAACCGCGGCAGTACTATATACACAAATCAGGATCGTGAGGTTGCCACTCCGAACAGAGGAACACATCCACCGTAAGTAACTCCCATGATATGGATAGACAATAGTGTAATATGAATGCAATGCAATCATCAGGCGAACACGTCCCACACTTAAGCCAGCAGGCACAATTGTATCGAAGGCTCAAGAATTTGTGGACATTTATAAATATCCGCCAAGCCGACCGGATCCCATATACCCACAGCCGACGCCCGATAAGACGGCAGCCAAGTGCCGTAAGGATGTCTGCCTTTTGCCCGATTGCTACTGCGGGGGCAAGGATATACCCGGTGAGTATTCGCGTGTTAGTTATCGACGTTCTTGACCCTTCCGGCAGTGCTGTGCAAATTAGTTTCGGACTCTCGACTAATGCTGCTGTAAGACAATTTAAGACTAAATTCAATGCCTCACAAAACATAGGAGGCTTAAATGTATCGGTGACCCCGCAAATAGTGTTGATTACCTTCGATGATGCGATCAACACGATTAATATCGATCTGTATAACGAGTTACTGAACAACGAGACGAGAAAGAATCCCAATGGATGTCCTTGGCGCGCCACTTTCTACATATCGCATGAGTGGACAGACTATGCCATGGTCCAGGACATGTACTCGGATGGACATGAAATGGCTTCGCACACGGTGTCGTAAGTTGCGATCGATTTTCGACTCTGTTGGGTCATCTTGATTATGGCAACATCAATTACATGCGGCATTCATTGTCTTCAGTCCCTTCTATGTGCCTCTATGTGTATGCTTTGTTTATATTCACTTCATGATCCTATTATGTTTTCTCTACATTTCATCACCCACCATTTCATCAATACTGTTGTCGTCCTGACTGCCAGGCGAACTGCCCGCTGAAAGCATTCCCCAAATCGTACTCTTGACCTTTGACGATTCGGTAAATGATTTGAATAAGCAATTGTACATGGATCTTTTTGAGAAGGGACGCGTCAACCCTAATGGCTGCCCAATAACAGCCACTTTCTACGTCTCTCACGAATGGACTGATTACAGTCAAGTGCAGAATCTTTACGCCGATGGACACGAAATGGCATCGCACACAGTTTCGTAAGTAGCCGACCATCCCTCTCCCCCCTATATCTACCTGTATGTTTGAGACATACACACACGGCCACACAAGCAACAAGAGCAACCACAGCAACAACAACAACAACAACGACACCAAGATAAGAATACATGTACACACCAAATTCCTCTATCCCATATTCACGAACACATTATATACAAGCGGGCGTGGTGCTTTAATAAGTCAACACGAAACATACATATGTACATATGTGCGGGCAAACAGAAAGGTGCCAGAGGTTAAAATTTTCATTTGTTTGTTGCTCCACAGTCACAGCTTTGGCGAGCAGTTCTCACAAAAGAAATGGACCCGGGAGATAGCTGGCCAGCGGGAGATACTCGCCGCTTATGGCGGGGTGAAGCTGTCCGATGTGCGCGGCATGCGAGCCCCTTTCCTCTCAGTTGGCGGCAATAAGATGTACAAGATGCTGTACGATTCGAACTTCACCTACGACTCTTCGATGCCGGTCTATGAGAACCGACCGCCCTCGTGGCCGTACACCCTGGACTACAAGATCTTCCACGATTGCATGATTCCGCCGTGCCCGACGCGCAGCTATCCTGGTGTTTGGCAAGTGCCCATGGTAATGTGGCAGGACTTGAATGGCGGACGTTGTTCTATGGGCGATGCCTGCTCGAATCCAAGTGATGCGGATGGAGTTACCAAAATGATAATGAAGAACTTCGAGCGTCATTACACCACCAATAGGTAGACAAAACTTTGTTGCATGGTCCCGAGGATTAAGTCACTTTTTCGCCACAGAGCACCGTTTGGACTGTTCTACCATGCCGCTTGGTTCACCCAGCCGCACCACAAGGAAGGCTTTATTAAGTTCCTTGATGCCATAAATGCCATGCCGGATGTGTGGATCGTTACCAATTGGCAAGCACTGCAGTGGGTGCGCGATCCGACGCCAACATCACGAATAAATTCCTTCCAGCCATTCCAGTGCGACTATTCGGTACGTTCAAGTCCTTATATAGAAAACTGCAGTCAATCGAACTAAAATTTACTTAATGCCAATCCAGGACCGACCCAAGCGTTGCAACAATCCGAAGGTCTGCAATCTATGGCACAAATCAGGCGTTCGCTACATGAAGACTTGTCAGCCTTGCCCCGACATCTATCCATGGACTGGAAAGTCTGGCATACGCTCATCACGCATCGACAATGAAGTCGAGGAGCCTTCGGCGTAAGACCGAGACGCTCTCGGGAGTTCAATGTATCGAAATAACATCATAGTAAAAGCCACATTTATGGTATAAGTAGATGTGATGTCAATGCACAGAGAAATGATTGATATGCACTAAAGCTAATTGTCGGACGACATAGGTAATAGCCCAAAATACGGTATTCACTCGTTAAAATGTTCTTCATCTTATTATATTTATACTATAGCTAATTTGTTGAAGGGCGTCGATAAATGTATTTAATATTTTTGGACATGTTACTTAAAATTATTTATTCCCTAACGATAGACTTATGTATGTGTACTGTATATTCCTATAGTTTGCTACTTCCGTGGAAATTCGTATAAGTACTTTCAAAATGCAATATTAGAGTAAGTAAAAGTTACTAACGTAATTATAGATTGTCCCCCAAATTGCGGCAGTGGAACGCGCGTGGCCATTGCTAAGCTGATGAACAATACTCTTCTTTGTGGCTTCTTCTAATTTGTGATAAATTTGTTGTCGACTATCATGATGTGTCCCTCTGTTAATCTGAACCCTGGCACAAAATTCGTATCAAATATTGTCTACATTTATATCTTAGCATTATTTTTACTCCAACCTTGTATATAACTACATTATAACTGGATTCCGGTGAAGGGGATTTTAGCCTAATACTCTTGGGTGTATTTATCATTCTATATACATATGTATGTATATCCTTACTATTATTATTGGACACCATTCGTATTCGAAATACAATAAAGATGATGCTGTCATGTCTCTCTCAAAGAACATGGTATGCACAACCCGATATACGTATATATATATGAATATGTATCAGAATTCATTTCATGATTTACATCATTCTAGCACTAGTTCAAATAATTAAGATTACCATGGAGTTACATTTTGAAACGAAACGGCAGAAGAGAAATCAGACAATGATAGTAAGTAGACTAGAGCTCGTTCGTCCAGGCAAAGGAATGAACTAAATAATATGAAGTAAACTCCAATATTACTCATGTGAAAGTATTAGATGGATTTGTAATGCTACAAACTCATGAGAAGAATAATTAAGTTATTTTACTATTGAGTTAAGTTTATTGTATGTATGTGTTTCCATTCCCATGCATATGTATATTCAATTTGCAATCAGCTGAACACAGCTTAAAAATTTGTATTTTGCCAACGAGTGAATTATGTATTTTGTGCTAATAATTGTACAACGTGTAAAATAAAACAAACATTTTAAGTCATATTTAAATGTATTTTTAATTAAGTCTAATCCCAGATATGTGGAGTGTACTACATACAAAAAATATCCAGAAGTAAATATTTATCAACGTTATAATCATAATTTTGTATAACCCTGATTTGACCAAAACTCAATCTAACATTAGTCATTAGTTTTATAAAGCCGCTCCAATTTTACTTTGCATTGGCTTTCAAAAGCGAAATTTTTTTAAAAACAAAATACATTGGAGCTTGCCTATGAAGTTACTTGCAACTCCTTAACGTGCTCAAAGTATTACCAATTACCACTAACCACACATATTTCATATTAAACAGCTAAATTTCAATTCATTATCACAATTTATTTCGTATAAAATACAAATATTTTTATATAGATTTGACTACATTTTTACACACAACATGTAACATAAAATAAATCAAGTATATATATAAATCTAAATATATATATATATTTATATATATAGATTTATGAAAGATAAAGCTTTAACTGACATTTCTTGCAGAATGGCAGACCTAGAAACGATTCATAAGTAAAAATACTGCTAAAAGCCGAACAGCTAGAAATTATAAATTGCTAGAATAGACGTATACTGACTGCCACCTTAATACATACAAAATTGTAGACATTTTTGTAAGTAATATTACAGGGTATATAAATATGAATAGCTCTTAATATACACAAATACTTTGGACACTCTAATGTTTTTACACAGCCAGCTTCTTAGCCGAATCATCTTAGATTTAGGATCGAGTCAAATTACTCTGGCTTGTATTGGCCGATAGGCCAATTTCATCGTCCGATTCGTCGGAGTCCAAGGGACTAACTCGTATGGCTTGATACCATTTGTTGGTCAAATCGGCCATTTGGGATTTGCACTCGTGCAGCTCCTGGCTGTTGAAGCGGCGCGTGAAGAAAGGTATAAAGTATTTGCGATCCAAACGCCCGAAGCGATCGCGGGCCTGTGTAAAGGTGACGTCCTCTTCTTCTGTTAGCTCAGACAAGTGCTCCGAATCGATGGCTTGTCCCCACTCTCGTGTTTTCGACAAGGATACGGACTTGCTGCGCTTTCGATGAGTGCTCTGTGAGCCACCACTTGAAGAGCGCAGAGATCCAGATCCCCGAGCACGGCGCTTCTTACCGGGCTTCAAGTACTTTAGTAATGGCATCGTTGAGCCTCCCAGCACGAGTGTAGTGAACAGAACAATGATCAAAGTGGTGGTAATAATGACATGTCGTTTATCCTGGCTATCTAGATGCAAGTGAAGTGAGAGTGCATAGGAGATGGCACCTCGCAGGCCAGAGAACCACATTATGAACTGCATCTTATTGTTGATCTTGTGTTCACGAAACTTATTTACCAAATAAGCCAAAGGAAATATATTGCATGCCCGACCAATCAGACAGAGCACAATTGACCAGATGACGAATGACAGCTCCACTTGATGCTTAAATGAAAAGATGGCCAAGCCCAGGTAGGCAAACACGCACGTCTCCGCTATAAAGGCCAATGTACGCATCGTCTGCTGCATCGTAATTTGCGTGACAGTCGATAAATTGAAATGCGTATAGTGTGACATGACGATTCCACAGAAGAGTATTGCCATAATGCCACTCAAGTGTATCCCTTCAGCCAGCACGTAAGGCGCATAGGTGAACATCAGCATGATTGCGAATTCCAGCGAAGGATGTTTTCGCAGATCGATGTGCTTGAGCAGCAATGCGGATATAAGGGCAAATATAACACCGATGCCAGCCGAAGCGAAAAACATCTCGCAAAAGGTCTTCAAGGCGCTCATCATTGCTTCGCCTGTGCCTGCGTCTGCATTTGCGTTGATCGTTATTGAAGCAGTTAACACAATGGAAACGGCATCGTTTAGAATGCTCTCTCCAAAAACCAACATGTTCAAGATCGGGTCTACGTCCAGGGCATGGAATATGGCAACAGTAGCAACAGGATCAACCGCCGAAATGAGAGAGCCAAATGCGAATGATTCGGAAAAGTTAAGTCTACACAGAGAGAGATGATTAAAATAGTTTCTTATAACTTTGATCAAAGATACGCACCTATACGCCACCTCAGCCATGCCCAGTAGGTAGATGCCAGCTCCTATCACCAGAGCCGATATTGTTGTGCCGAAAATAGCAAAGACCAGTATGGAGCCAATGTTTTGGAAGAAATTTCCCTTGTGTAGATTGTAGCCAGACTCAAATATGATGGGGGGCAAGAGGACAAGGAAGAATCCCATGGGCGAGAAGACCTCCTCTCGCTTCCAGCTGCCATTTTCGCCCGACATCACATTAAGCGAGAGCCCAATGAATGCACCCAGAAACACCACCACGATCGATTCGGGCAGATATTGGAAACCCGTTTGCAGCATTGAGTGTATCAAAAGTATTCCCAGCATTATAACACAAATAACAAAGAATAGGGAAAGCGAGGAGTTGTGCTCTTGCTCCACGGCATGAGGGTCGATCAGGGATGGTTCCGTGACGGTCGTGGTCGCGTTTTTAGAAGCATTCACATTTTGCGGCACGGTTGCAACTGAACTCAATTCCACGGACGAGACGTTCCCACTGCTAGAAGTAGCCGATACGTTGCTAACGTTGCTATTTACCGAAGTTGCATTATGTATTGGGGTTTTGTTCTGCAAAGGGTCTTCAAATTTGACAGTAGGTTCCTTGGCATCTGTGCTCTCGTTTAGTGCGTCCAACGTTGCAGTTTTCTGCGCCAAGAAAACTATTATAGTGACGGCCGTCAAGGCCAGTAGTTTCCCCTTCATTTTTAATGGAAATTACACGGGGACGCAATCCTAGCGAACTAATTTTCTAAAGTTAGCGAACTAAACACACGTCATGAACAGCTGTTTTATCTTTGGCCTGCTACTACCGTCACTTTACCACACTGGTTTTAAGCAACAAGATAAGGGTATGCCAGCAAAATAACTATATGAGTTCAAATTACTTAAAAATCTACCTCAAGCTGAAAAAGTGGGGATTTACTCATGCTATGATAACATTAGTATTTAATATTTCGTCTAAATTTTTTACTTTTACCTTTTTGGTATTTTTCTCAACTACGAATCTATCTGGGGGGTCAACATCTTTTTGAAGATAATGTAGCTTGTTATTTCAGCTATTTCAATAGATTTTTGTGTTTATTATGCAGAAGCAGATTACCGAACGCCTTGATCTTGGCCGACCTTGTTTGTGATTAGCATGACACGATCTTTCTATGGTTCTTTGTTATTTTCAAATAATATACATATATTGTTGTCGAGTGCCTATTAGTGACGCATCTGTAAAAGACTTAAATTTATTCGGTATAGCAGATTGTAAAGTATTTTTTTAAACATTCCACTTATTTGAATACATAAATACAATTTGTTCATATTTTGTTGAAAATTGGTAAAAGTTTTTGTTTTGCTTGTTTTGCTATTAACGAGATTCAAAATATTGAACTACACTGTAAAATAAACGATGTAAATTACCAGGGTGTTCTCATGTTTCATCACTACACATATAATAAAATGATGATAAGCCCTTAAATTTGCCAAATCATCTTTCCGGATTCAGGCGCAAATATTTATAAATAAATACAATTTCGTTAGAAAACAGTTCTAATTGGACGCTGTTTGAGTAAGTGTCGACACCGAAACTTAGCGAATTCGAGTTCCCGACTCTAATATTTTGATGTAAGTTACGGCACTGGTTACGGATAGCAAACTTTAGTATATTTGTAGTGTATGTAAACTGAAACAGTGTGGCAACGCTAATCCACCCACCACATTGCAAACACAGCTGTTTGCGAACAGCCGTAAAAAACGTGGGCATGCTCTCAGTTTGTTTAAGAACGGTAGGAAAGTTGAGTGTGGGCACCTCCAAATAAGAGCGCCAAAACAAGCAATAAACATACACACACATATATGCACATACATACGCGTTACCACAAAGAGCATAAGAGAGAAATTCGCTCTCATACGGCGCCGCCATCGTTCTCCGCTCCCGACTTCACGACTATAAATTCTGTAGCTGGCAAAAATTGTGCGCTCTTTTTCTACGATACCGTCGCCGAGATTGGACGTGCGTGTTAGTTGCGCTAATTTGACTGCCTGTCGGCTAAAATATAACATATTCTGTGGCATCAGACTTGAGACAAAACCTGTGCCGCTTGCTTTACCAAGAACATTATAACAGTTTCATTGATCAGTGAGTAGCGTCCTTTAACGCGCGTGTTTATCGGTGTGTATGTTTGTTCATCAATCGTACATGTATGTACATACATACATAAGAATGTATTGCTGCTGCTGTGTGTGTGCACGTGTGTGTGGGTGCTGTGCGACTTCCCATCAAACACAACATCAAATAAAACGTATATAATGCGTTTGCTGATTATATAAAAATAACAATCATATTAGTTAAACACTACAAGTAAATGGTTTAAAAGTGAAGAGTGGCACGCTAACGGCAGCGATATTTTATTTGCATTCGATTTTAGGAAAATCAATTTCTTTGTAAAACAAACTAATAATACATTTTTGTTTTGTACAGTACCAACTTTAACTACTTAACAACCGAATAAGAAGCAGCAATCGAAATGCCACAAAAGACGAACGGACACTCCACAGCCACCGTCAACGGGCTCAATGGCAGCAATGGCAATGGCAACTCCTATGACATGGAAGACGGGCAAACATTCCTATTTACTTCCGAATCCGTGGGAGAGGGACACCCAGGTAACTGCAAATATAAATTCATATATACATATATATGTATGTATGTACATGCTTAAATTAGCTGCATCTCTATTCTCAATCAATTCGCAAGAGAGCCGTCGCAGACCGACCTCCTTATTGCATCATAATGTGCGGCGGGCTTGCACACAAATATAGTACATACATGCATACATGCGTACGTACGTATGCATATGTACCCCATGCAGAACATACATACATATGGATGTATGTATGTATTTCAATATTTAGAGTAGAATTTAAGGTACAAATATGCAGATGAGTGAACGTCCATAGTTCCTTTTTGTTTTTATCAAAATTTAATTTTGTTGTTACAAATGTTTCAGTCCACGGCTCTGTTTTTTTGCTAAAAGTTGAATTAGAGTTGATTTGTTTTTCAATATAATCAGTAGCAGTAAGTAGAAAATTCCATCGAAAAACGTGCTGTTTACTCAGCAGACCAGCAAAAGCAATTGATAAGTGTGACCAGCTCTATGTTATAGAGTTACACCAAACGAGCAACTTTTAATAATGCTCAAATCTTCAGCGTTAGGATGCTAATACATACATATATACATACTATGTATGTGTATGTTCAGACATACATGCATAAATATATTCATTATTATCTGTCTTGCTATATATGTATGTACATATGTATGTATATTTGTGTATACATTCGTATGCTAATGCATCTGTTTTACGCATATCAGCCTTCATCTATTACCTACCCACCAGCTACCAGCTGGTCGCTCGCTCTTTCGTGGTCTGATGTGCTGTTGCTAGAGAGGCTGTCCCGGCAACGTGTTCTTCCTACAAATGTACATACCTAAATATGTGTTTGTATGTATTGTAGAACGTATGTACATATATTCGTATGATACAAATGTGTGTATGTATAAATGTGTGTGTATTGTAGACTGCGTCATGCGCACCATGTGCTTTTATAATGATTGCTGCTCTTCCGAGTTACCGGTTCTCTTCTCTTTCGGCATTTGAGTTCCTCTTTGCTGATTGCTGATCAAAACAATCGCATACGAACATTCATATTTATGCATACTTACGATTTTAAATTCAGCCATAAAGAGCTACAAATGTTTAGGCAAATGTGTTTATCTACATACAATACATACTACATACATACATATGTATGTAGTTATACTTTCAAGTTCGACAAATAGCAATCTGTTTTCTTCATATTGTTTTTGCAAAGTATAAAATTTGCGAATTTCGGTGACCACGTGTATCACTTTTATGATAATCATACATACCTACATTTGTATCATACATACATAAGTACTTAATATTTTACCTGTTCGCTTATGTAAATGGAAGAAGTTTGTATGTACATACATACAAACATACATACATATGTAAGTGTAATACAGTCCATTTAAATGTAATTATAATTATAAATACTATATTAATACGATAAGAGTGAGTAACCAAAGCTAATTAAGTTTAGCTACATGGTAAAATAAACTGAACCACGTATGTACATATCTAGGTATCTAACAAATAGTCTGTCAGGGAAGGACTTTGATGGATGGGGTATTGTGCCAAAATTGTAACTTTACTGGCAATATTTGGAGTCGTAGATATTCCGACATCAAAAAAAATTTAGTAAAATGTTGATCATCGAAATAGGGATCTGTCAACATGTACAGGACGTGATGCGGCACTTTCGTTTGGGCCTTTTTCAATCGTCATTGAATTAAACAGTCTCAGATCTAGAGTGGGGTTATCAGTACTCTCGGCACCTTTAATGCCAAAGGGGATGCCTATTGCTTTATACAAAAAAAAAAAAAAGATTATATATAGATGGAGATTAGTAATATCATTATAAGTTGAACGAATTCTAAGTGATGCGCCATTGGAATGATTAAACACTTTTTGTTTTGGGTATTTTTGCAATGAGTTGAGTAATATTCTATAGGGCATAATGTAAACTGAAACCTACATGGCCTTTTTTGCTGCCTCGTGCGACTTTTATTTATCGACACTCATCATAAACGTGACGCCAAAAATTCAATTCACATTTTTAGGATTTGAGATAGTATTATATTTCGCTTTCAATCGCGAAATAAAAGTCAAAATAAACTGCATTGTCTGTAAATTTTAGCTGGTGTCGGCGTTGGCGTTAGAGTCCAAAGGTTGGTCTGGCCGCTCCTATACACTTTTTTTCACATAGCCATGTTAAATGTAGCACATTATACATAACTCATAATATAAACAACATTATGATTCTCACTACATTTTAATATATATTTCCTTTATAGACAAAATGTGTGATCAAATTAGCGATGCTATCTTGGATGCCCATCTTCGACAGGATCCCAATGCTAAAGTCGCTTGTGGTAAATATGTATATACATTAAATGGGAACTAATGTTAAGAACTCGTGAAATCGAATGGGTGTTATAGTAATTTTCGAATTGTAACTCAAAGTTCGAAGGCATGCCGTAGCATTCGTATTTTCGACAGACTTTAGATAAACAAACACATTTGTAAACAAATAAGGACGCTGAGCTTGGGAACAACCGACTACTTAATGCTTGTTTGCTGCTAAAGTAGAGCTATCTTAAAACTGGGAAATTTGTAAAACTCTATTTAATCAAAAGCGAGAAAATATTCTGCGTTCATACAGGCAGGAGGACGGATGGCAAGATAGATAGATATATTGCAAAACTTTTATACTCGACTTCAGTTTATGAACGAGTATAAAAAACTCAAGCACTTCGGCCAATCGACGCGTGCATGATGTTCTTAATCGCCGATAAGGGTAATTTGGAGTATAAACAAAAACACTAATAATAATTAAGTAGGGTAGACAAAATAACAAGAGTTTGCAACATTTTGAAAATTCTTTTTTATTGTTTATAGAAACTGTGGCGAAAACTGGCATGATTCTGCTCTGCGGTGAAATAACATCAAAGGCCGTGGTAGACTACCAAAAGGTTGTGCGCGAAACGGTCCAGCATATTGGCTATGACGACTCCTCGAAGGGTAAGTTTTTAGAGTAGAAAGATGAGGACTTTTTCTCGTTCTCGCTCTCGTTACTGTTCTCTTGTGGGTGGGCAGCAGAAACAGCGTATGACAGCGCATTGTTTCCTAATTGAAGTG